GGAAGGAAGGGAGACAGAGAGAGACAGGGGAAAAAAATTACAAGAAATGATCATAATATTAGTTTTGACTATAAAGAGAAAAGTATTTACATAATTATAAAAACATAAACTTCACTGATATGTCTAAAATAAAATAAATACATTGGAAAGATGGGAAGGGGAGGCTAGCTAGAGCAGTAAACATGCACACCACTTCTATGCCTGGACATAAATCACTCTACACAATTCTCTGTTCTCGCTCTCCCTTTCCCTTCCTCCCCCTCTCCTCTCCCTACTCCTCTCCCTCTTCCTCTCTTTTTTTCTCCTCACCACTGGGGTGGGTGCAGCGGATCCAGTAGTGACTTCTAGGAGGCCCTAGGGGACAGTGGAGACAGGAGGAAAGGAACCTGGGTTCCAGAGTCATAGCTTTGAGGACAGCAGTGAGGAAGCCTGTTCCCAAACATTGGACTTTGGGTGAGTTCAAAATAAACTTTTATTGTGTTAAGTCACTGAAATTCTAGGGCTTTCTTATTATGGAAAAAAAAAAAGGGGGGGGGAATGTCAAAATGGCTTAATTAGGAATTACTGGTGTATCAATCAGGGTCCAACCAGGAGAAAAAAGTCACACATTAGTTTGAACAGGGAAAATTAATGTAAAGAGTTATTAACAGTAACAGGTGAAAGAGAATTCTAAGGAATACTATAGTGGTGAGGGAGAGGATCTGAGTTCTGGAATAAATTTTTAGCTTACTAATTTGCTCTAGTGGTATCCATTTTGTTGTTTATTCCATCTACTGAGAGTTTTTAAAGGATATTTCCATTTATAAAATACTAATTGGTCCTTTGTAATATTTAAAGAATTCAAAGTAACATAAATATTGATTAAAATAAAATTGACTCAAGAGGGATTTGAATTTCCTTTCCCATCTGGCTGAAATACGGCAGAAAAAGGTGAAGTGAAGGAATGCTAGTTGGCACTGTGCTCGCCTACCCCTGGTATGGAGCTGAAATTATACCTTCACCCAGTGGCAACAAGGCCATGGAGTTGGTTTTCCATTTCCACTGGGGTGGCTTCAACAGAGCTCAAAAGAGAGCTGAACATACACCCCACCTGTACCTGCATGCTACACCTAAAGAGCATGAATGCTTGCTAAAAAGAACAAAAGTAAAATAAGACCCAGAGTCTCACAACATAATACCCAAACCCTCCAGGAAACAAGAGAAAATAATTTATCATACCAAGAACCATGACAATCACAAGTTGAATGAGAAAAGACAATCATCAGGTGCCAAAACCAAGATTACTCAAATGTTGGAATTATAAGGATTTTTTTTTTTTAATTTTTAAATTTTATTTTTAAAAAAATATTACAGATGTCCCTTTTTCTCCCCAATGACCCGTTCTACCCCGTCCCATCCCCCTACCCAGTCCCTCTCCCCACCATTGTCCGTGTCCTTGGGCTGTGCATATATGCATATAAATTCTCTGGTTACTCTCTCCCCCTCCACCCACCC